TTTGACAGCTCGAGCAGAGTTTTAGCTTTTCCAATTGGAAGAGCAACTGTAGATCTTTGCTGCGGTCGAAGCGACTTTATAGCCTCAATGGGGAGTGAAATAGGCGCCCTTTAGGTCACAGTCGCTGCCGCAGTTGGCTGCAATATGTCCATAATCGAGGCACTTGAAACAGCGTTTAGGCTGGTCCACGGCTCGGATACGGCATACTACCCATCCTATTCTAATTTTGGACAGCTCGAGCAGAGTTATCCTTCAACTCCACCCTAATGGCCTCAAAGATCTCCTCTTTGCTCGCTAGCTCATCTAGGTCGCGAATCGCGATTTGAGCCGATTCGGTAAGTGTTTTAACTACCGCTCGGTCACCTAAGGCCTTGCGTACAGCTTACGGCTTCCTACTCAGTGTGTGTGTGTGTATGCGTGTGTGTGTTTGCGTGTTTCTTGTGTAAGCAGAAAGACGCGAAAAATTATTGAAATAGCTATTGCTCGAAGGGTTCAGGGGATCTCCTCGTTGTCGAGTAGTCTCGACTAGAGCTTTCTTACTTGTTATTTTTAAACTCGATATCCGCGCTGTACATACGGACAGCTAAAAAAATTGAAGTCTCTAGCTCTTATATCTTCTGAAATCGACGCGTTCATACATACGTATATATATGTATATATATATACTTTGTGGGGTCTTGTAAGGTTACATTAATTTTCCAGCTGGGGTCAGAGTCTCAGTCTGCCCAGGGCCATAACTTACAAGAAATTTATAAGTTACTACGGGACGTTCAGGGTTGGCGAAATGGGAGAGGGGAAGGGTACCATTTGAGGTTAGGTGACCACGTGGCCTGAACTCGCCGACCACGCCCACGCGTTTGCACGCGGGAGGACGGCAGCAATCGAGTGGCGCGATCAAGCGCACTCTAGATTGCTGGGGTCGGGGTTGCGAAGGCGGCTGTGGGAGTTATTGGGGCCACTACGAATGGTAGATCGCGGGTCGAGCAACGCCCAGCGTTGCCGCCGGCGTTCACTCCCAGACCACGCGATTTTCACTGCCAGAGATTTACCCTTCTGGCGAACGGGTCGTAACCACGTTTAAACTACCAGTTAGTAGTTAGTGTTGTTATAGTTAATTGCGGTTAGTGTCACAAGTCAACATGTTAGATGAACTAACTACAAATAAATACACGACCATCTCTACATACGCATGCTAAATTCTAATACCTTTTCACTGATCCGATTTTTATTAACGTCTGCTCACTCCGAGAGCTAAAAACTAACTAACTCTTGAACGCAGCTTTCATTACGCGACCAGCAATGCAATTCAGCACTCCTACGAGCTTTTCGAGCCGCACGGTTGTATTGCTGATCGCGCGCCCGCCTACTAATTTGAATTTCTGCTTACGTACTAAAACTAACTGCTATAACACTTACGGCTACTTATTAACTACTTAGTACTGTTTTACAAACGAATGCTTATTCTACTTATATCCTAACTTACTCTCTACCAAAATATGACTTCACAATTCAACTCATTATCTGTGAACCAAATATATAAATCGACGACTTCGATTGCGTCACTTCAAAATATACCAAAACCTAGTTCCACCGTTTCCGCTTATTTACTACAAACAAAAATCCGAATCCAAACTCCTCTCTACTAACAATGTGTATAATGTAAGGTGGGCAAATAGGCCACCTTACAGTCTGCCAGCATCTAGGTCGCGAATCGCGATTTGAGCCGATTCGGTAAGTGTTTTAACTACCGCTCGGTCACCTAAGGCCTTGCGTACAGCTTACGGCTTCCTACTCAGTGTGTGTGTGTGTATGCGTGTGTGTGTTTGCGTGTTTCTTGTGTAAGCAGAAAGACGCGAAAAATTATTGAAATAGCTATTGCTCGAAGGGTTCAGGGGATCTCCTCGTTGTCGAGTAGTCTCGACTAGAGCTTTCTTACTTGTTATTTTTAAACTCGATATCCGCGCTGTACATACGGACAGCTAAAAAAATTGAAGTCTCTAGCTCTTATATCTTCTGAAATCGACGCGTTCATACATACGTATATATATGTATATATATATACTTTGTGGGGTCTTGTAAGGTTACATTAATTTTCCAGCTGGGGTCAGAGTCTCAGTCTGCCCAGGGCCATAACTTACAAGAAATTTATAAGTTACTACGGGACGTTCAGGGTTGGCGAAATGGGAGAGGGGAAGGGTACCATTTGAGGTTAGGTGACCACGTGGCCTGAACTCGCCGACCACGCCCACGCGTTTGCACGCGGGAGGACGGCAGCAATCGAGTGGCGCGATCAAGCGCACTCTAGATTGCTGGGGTCGGGGTTGCGAAGGCGGCTGTGGGAGTTATTGGGGCCACTACGAATGGTAGATCGCGGGTCGAGCAACGCCCAGCGTTGCCGCCGGCGTTCACTCCCAGACCACGCGATTTTCACTGCCAGAGATTTACCCTTCTGGCGAACGGGTCGTAACCACGTTTAAACTACCAGTTAGTAGTTAGTGTTGCTATAGTTAATTGCGGTTAGTGTCACAAGTCAACATGTTAGATGAACTAACTACAAATAAATACACGACCATCTCTACATACGCATGCTAAATTCTAATACCTTTTCACTGATCCGATTTTTATTAACGTCTGCTCACTCCGAGAGCTAAAAACTAACTAACTCTTGCACGCAGCTTTCATTACGCGACCAGCACGGTTGTATTGCTGATCGCGCGCCCGCCTACTAATTTGAATTTCTGCTTACGTACTAAAACTAACTGCTATAACACTTACGGCTACTTATTAACTACTTAGTACTGTTTTACAAACGAATGCTTATTCTACTTATATCCTAACTTACTCTCTACCAAAATATGACTTCACAATTCAACTCATTATCTGTGAACCAAATATATAAATCGACGACTTCGATTGCGTCACTTCAAAATATACCAAAACCTAGTTCCACCGTTTCCGCTTATTTACTACAAACAAAAATCCGAATCCAAACTCCTCTCTACTAACAATGTGTATAATGTAAGGTGGGCAAATAGGCCACCTTACAGTCTGCCAGCACGTGTGTACCTTATTGATCATATCTTCGTTTTATTTCACAGCTTTATTTCTATTTTTCACTCTACAATTTTTCAATTATTTTATTTCTGTAAACTTATGTCTTCTAACTCTATTTCACACTTTGTCTGCGTATTTCTATTTTTTATAAATCTCTGGCTCTCGACTGCACGTACAGCTTCTACTCCGTACGACGCTCTATAAACGACTCGGCCTAATCTCCAACCCTCGCTTGGGCCGACTGCCCTCGCGGGGGACAACGCAACTCTCCACAGCGCGAGCTCTCTCCACGCTGAGGCAGGGCTGCGCTGTCGATCGCCGATACTCCGCGCGTGCTTTGGCGCCCTTTTTAAATTCAAATTTCAACTTATTATCTACCAATTAAAAACTAATAATTATAACATACTTACACACTATCAATTAAAACTAGAGATTATGCTCTACTAACAAACTTAAAATTAAAACTAGCAATTATACTCTACTTACAAACTACCAATTACAGCTAAACATTACGATCTACTTACTTACTCTACGAACCTATAACATACAAATAAAAATGCTGTGAGGCGGTGATCAGACGATCGGGTACCGTGGTTACTTCCATCGGTGCCTACTCCAAGTGGGATAACTGCTAGCTCCTCGAGTATTAAAATAAGCGAAAATGGAGATATGACGCTGTTTATAATGGCCATGGACTTCGTTCTAGCGCTAAATATTTTTAAGGAGATTTCTGAGTCGGTAAACAAGGAACGTAGCAAACTTTTTGTGCATCTGTTGACCTGTAGCTCATATGGTGTTTAACCGTGTGAAAGGCCAATGTGCGCTCTACAACAAATACTTTCAACGCATTATCCGAATGCGTTCTGACATTGCATCGCATTTTCCTTTTGTGTTCTCGTGACGCACCAGAGCTGATTTTCCTAAGAAACCTTAAAATGAAACGGATATAACAAATTTTAAACAACAGAGCGCACATGAAGTATAAACAACACATAGATTGTCCATGTGTCACGGACATTGACTTATCTGATACACACCTCCATATGCTACACTAATATTCACTCGACAAATTTTGAAAAAATTCATTTACATTACCACGCTTACCCATTGAAACTATAAATTCCAGATATTCTACGCATTCTACATTTCTTTTCTTTTCAACTTTTCGATTATTCTCGTTAAAAAGTTATCGGATGAGTTATCGAAAAAATATGATAAACTTGTACTGCCATTTTCAATGGGTTCAGGGTATAAAAAACTTGCAATCGGCCGAAAAGGGACCAATTAATTTTATGGGAAACAAAATATTCTGCTCCAATTACATTTGGAGGGAAATCCATCGAATTTTTAAGATAAACCCATATACTATGGGTGATGTCCCATGTAATCAGACCATGGTGTGTGGGAAACTTCATATATAGCTGTAAGAAGAACATTTAGCCAACTGTAAAAAAAGGTTAAAATTCACCTATGAAGTAAGGAATTTGGTTTTTTTAAGTTATTTAAACAATTTTTAAAGAAAATTGGAAAAAGTCAGCTGAAAAATAAGTACTTTTAGAAACTTTAAGAAGCAACACCCCAATTCTATTGAATATTAGTGGAGCCAGTTGGACTGCTGACCTCACAGATCTTCAATATATGTCCGAAAGACATGGGTACAGAAAAATTGCACCAAAACACAGCAAAAATTATAACCAATATACCAAATTGTCTAAAGGACCCTTTAAATAATTATGGATACCATACTAAATATTAAATATGATCCGTTGTTCAGTGAATCTTAAATGATGTCATCCCTACGTAAATATATAGCTCTTAAAAAATATTATTTTTGAATCTTAATAAAAATTAATAATAATTTTAGATACCGTATATATATACATTATTATATAAATTTCGAATCGTGGGAACGATACAACGTTCTTATTAATTTATATTTTTCGCAGACATCAATGAGTGCGAGACTGGAGATCACAACTGTGGCGAAAAGCAGATTTGTCGCAATCGGAATGGTGGTTACATTTGCGCCTGTCCCGCAGGACATCAGGTGATCCGTCTGTCCGATAGTGTCAACAGCTGCGAGGATATTAACGAATGTGCAGAGGATTCCCCTGTTTGCTCATCAAATGCAAACTGCTACAATACAATTGGCTCATATTACTGCGAATGTAAACCAGGTTTCCAAAGGAAGTCTCTCAATAGCAATGCGAATAGTATGGACCAGGAGAATTGGTATGCCCATGGTCAATGCTTCGACGTCGATGAGTGTCAGTCCATACCAGGACTTTGCCAGCAGAAATGTGTTAACTTTTGGGGTGGATATCGTTGCACCTGCAATCAGGGATATGAACTCAGCCACGATAATAGGACATGCAATGATATTGATGAATGCGAAGTGCATAAGGATTATAAACTGTGCATGGGGTATAGAATTAACTTTTTTGCATTTTCAAATATCTTGATAGTTCTGCTCATGCGTGAATACATTTAGTAGACTCCTTAATATCATTACGACTGTCAATCTCATAAATGGCTAGACTCCATTTAACACACATAGATGGCGGATTAGATGGATAGATTATATTATAATATTATGAATTAAAATTTATTTTGAAATTTAAACCCTGATTTCCCATTTTCAATGGATTGAAGGTATAATTATTCAACAAGTAAATTACCATAATATTGCTCATACTGCAGCCCAAGCGCAGTCGCTGCTAAGTGAAGAAGTACCGAATATCTGATCTTACTTGTTTTTCTTTTTTATACCCTTAACCCATTAAAAATGCGAAATCAGGTCATAATGGTTTTGTTGAAATGTATGTAACAGGCAGAGGGACGCGTGACAGACCCCACAAGGTATATATATTTTTTATCAGGACGAGCTGAGTCGATTTGGCCCTGTTCGTCTGTCTGTCCGTCCGTCTGTCTGTCCGTCCGTATGTCCTTCTGTCCGTCCATCTGTCGTTCTGTCCGTATGTTTGAACGCGTCGATTTCAGAAGATATAAGAGCTAGTTTTTTTTCCAAATGTCCGTATATATAGCGCGAATATCGAGTTTATCTCAAAAAATCGAATTTTTTTTTTTAATTTTCACATTCTTTGATCGTAAGCATTCAAATTTTGCAGTTATGGTACCGTTAGCTCGTTCTTATTTGTTTTGTGATTCATCCCATTTTCTCGTTATAATTTTATATCATAAATTTTTATTGTCACAGAATTATTGCTACTTAACCATAAAAAAATTAATAACTGTTAAACTTTATTTAAAGATTAGTCTATATACATTACACTAATCGTACCAATCAATCAATCAATCATTTGCATTTGAATGAAATCCCTTATTAGCTTCTGCATTAACACGCCCGGTTCGTATCAATGTTCCTGTCCACGTGGCTACACTTTGGCGTCTGACAAGACTTCTTGCCGAGACATTGATGAATGTGATACAACGAGTAACAATCATGTGTGCACTGGTCGGGTGAGTACCTTAATGGTTATACAGATCATATATTTACATATAGCATACATAATAGTGAACGGATTCATTCAAATCTAAAATTTATTTTCTATTTAGATTTAGATTTTCTTTTCTATTTCATCTGTATATTTCAAAAATATTTTTTTATTTTTTTTATTTAAGAATGATATTTGCACCAACATTAGAGGTAGCTTTAAGTGCACCACAATAAATTGTCCCTCTGGATACATGAACGATGCCGATCAAAAAAAGTAAGTCAATATGCCTCCAAGTACATGGCAGATACTAAATTTTTTTTTTATACTCATTCACGAAAGTGAATTGGTTTTGTGCAATTTCCGTCCGTCAGTCTGTCCGTCTGTCCGTATGAATGCAATCTATTTCGACGCTATTGAAGCTAGAGACTTGAAATTTGGAACGCATACTCGTGTATATCTTCGATTTATAAAGTGTTAAAATCCGATATGCCCACTAGGGGCGGAAAATGCATTTTCCGATATGCCAGAAATCATGTTAGCTGAAGAGCTAGAAAGCTGAAATTTGATGTGAAGGTCCTGTTGGAGATATTTGGCTTAATGTTTGCGTTGCAATGCCAGCGAGAGTAAAAACGTTGTGATTCGGTTAAAGGTTTAATAAAGAGTAAAATATAAACAGAATAATGTTCATTACATTCTTCTTATGGTGTTGCCAGATTACATGTATGCTTATGTTAATGCTAATTTCAATTACATTTTCAACACTTCTTAAGCTACATATAATCTTTTAGTTAACAAATCTTTTGCTAGGATAAACCAATTAACTTAACAAAATAATTATGCTTAGACTTATGTAAACATTTGGTAAGAATATCAGCTACATTACAGTTTGAATTCACATATGTAAGTTCTATCTCTTTAGATTGTAATTTTTCACGAACAAAGTGGTACTTAATATCTATGTGCTTTGTCCGTTTGTGATGCACTGGATTCTGTGCAATGTGCTGCGAGCTGATATTGTCACCATGGATCTTCATTGGCTTCTCATCTGTTAACCAGCCAATCTCATTTAAAAGTCTTCGCAAATAGACTGCTTCCTTTGCAGCCAACGTTAACGCAATGTACTCCGCTTCTGTGCTGCTTAAAGCAACGACACTCTGTTTTGCTGAAGTCCAAGAGAATACACTGCCAGCGAGAAAGAACGCGTAGCCACTATATGAGCGTCTGTCTCGGATGTCATTTGCCCAATCTGCATCGGCGTATCCTGTTGCTGATGCATCACATTTGCTGTATGTGATAGCCAAATCCATCATACCTGCCAGGTACCTAAGAATATGTTTTGCTGCAGCTTCATGCTCTGCATGCGGATCGTTGTTTCTCTGAGATAGTTTTCATTAGTGACTGATATTGGAATTTATTTACCTTTTTGCAGTTGTCGTCGCTACATTCAACTTGAAAACCTGGATCAAGTGGTGTATTGACTTGCCGGCATTTGCCCATGCCGTATGTTTCCAGCAATATTTCCTTGTGCAACTAAGCGAGATTTGAACTTTTCGACATTTCCATTTTTATCGCGTTTGATTCGAAAAACCCATTGCCTTTTGCGCTGGAGGAGGTCGCATAATGTCCATGTGCTGTTTTCTTGGAGTGCTCTGTACTCCGTTTCTATGGACTCTCTCCATTCTTGTGCGTATTGACTCTGCAACGCCTCTTCGACTGATTGAGGTGTCTCTGTGCCTAATTGATCGAACACACTGTTGAGCCTCGTCTGGTACTGCTTCGTTGGTCGTCCTGGTTGACCATTTCGAATTATAGTAGGCCTGCCCGGCCTACGCTGCTGTCGCGTCACTGGTGCATCATTGTGGTTGCTTTCAACTTCTGGATTCTTTTCGTTCTCTTGCCGTTCTTCTTATTTGCTACTCTCATCCGGTGTCATCTGCTCATGATATGTAAGCTCTGGTGTATCAAGGCTTATTATGATCGTCATGAAATCATTATTTGTGTCTTCAACATTTTCGATTGTTTTTTGTGTCAAACTCACCCTCTATGAATTTAACGTAACGCCTTTCGATAACACTCCGCTTCTCTGGATCGATCCTCCTTACTCCTTTCCTTTTGCCTGGAATTTGCTTGTCTTAGCCTTGTCCAGAGCAAACACTCGAGATCCAAACACTCGCGAATGCTTCACAGAAGGCTTCCGATCTCTCCACATTTCGAATGGTGTGCCTCCATTTAACGCCTTTGTGGGACATCTATTGCGCAGATATACAGCCGTTGTGACTGCCTCTGCCCACAAAAACTCACCAAGCTTTGCATGAATTAGTAGACTTTTTGCCATTTCTACTATGGTCCGGTTGGCACGCTCTGCAACGCCGTTTTGTTGAGGTATATACGGTATTGTCAACTGCCTTTGTATACCGCATTCAGTCTTCGTTTGCTTTTAACAGCACTTCGCCTTTATTGTTTTTAATAATCGACACTTTGCCTTTAAATGATGTAGAGTTTTCAAAATTGGCTGCTGCGCTCACTGAGAAAAAATTCATATGGAGCTCGGGCACATGCAAAACATTTTTTAAGTTTATTATGCAGTGTTCTCCTTCTATTTTGACGTTTCCAATCCCCTTTGCAGCAACATACTTATTTGCAGCTAGCATTATCGGCGTTTCTTTTTCAGCGTAGTTTGTAAACATGTTGCGATCGCAACACATATGAGATGTTGCGCCGCTGTCTACGCACCATACGCTCTTTTCTGCTCTCCAGCAAAACAGTGCATCAAACTGCTTGCTTGTTCGCTGCTCACTCTCTTTCTATCGTGCCTCTTCTCGTTCCTTCTTCTTTGATTTGCATTCGCTTGCTCGGTGCCCGAATTTGTCGCAGTTGAAACACTTTCCGTTAAACTGTTTATTCCGTTCTTTCGAATTGTTTTGTGCGTGGGTATACACAGCTTGCGTTTCTGCTTTAAATTCTCTTTCTGCCTTCTCTGACTTTCGTGTGCCTTCCTCTATTAATTTGATTTTTACAGCATCAAATTTTGGCAACTCATCGCGCGTAACTATAGCTACTATAGCTAGTAGCATAATTACCTTTAACTCGTCGTTTAGAGTTATATCTAGCTCTGCCAATTTATCAATTATTTCAACAAATGAATTGATATAAGTGACGATGTCATCTCCCTGCTGCATGCTTAATCGAATCAGCTTCTGATATGCTTGCACCTTTAAAATCGGTCCAACTGGCATGTGCAACTTTTTGAGTCTTTTCAGATTTTTTTCGGCTGTTGTGCACCTTTTAATATGCATCAACTGAGATGGCTTTACGTTTAGAGTTATATATGCTCTTGCCTTCTTATCATCCTTGCACCATTTTGCGGCTGCTGCATCATCTTGACCCTCATATTTGCCACAAACAACTTCCCATAGGTCGGCCATTTCCAATATACTTTCCATGGCCATATGCCACACGCCGTAATTATTTTCATCAAGCTTTTCGATTTGGTACAACATGTTCATTTTGCTTGCAATTCCGCGTTAATTCGCGCAGGATATTAACTACTGATCACTAAGCAAAAATAAAAACGACTCTTTGCTCTTAGACACTTATGGGCGTGGCAAATCTGTATTTTCTGCAGTATTAGAGCGAAACTAAACTACTAAATTGTTGATGGGATGTGAATGAGTATTGCGCAGTCGGTAACGCCCGACTGCAACGTTCTTACTTGTTTATATATATAAGCACTGACCAGAGAACACATAGACTAGACATGTAGAACAAACTTTTTCAACACCGAAAAAATGCGCTGAGCGGACCGGACAACTTCGTATTTGGTCGGCTCGGTCTTCTGAGGCTCAAGCAGTGAAAATAAGGCAAGACAAAATCACTTCACAAGGCAGACCAACGGCAAATTTTGGGCTTTACAATTTGCACAGCCTGTTCTGCACAGAAAGAATCATAGCTCGCAAATAACTGTTAACACTTTTTCGTTGTCTGCAAAAAAGTGTCTTTCAGTGACACAGTCAAAAAAACTCAGACAGAAACTGTTTTTGTCGCGTCTGGCTTAGCTCTCTCGCGCTCTGAGGGAGATAGTTGTTTCTGTTTTCGTTTCCTCAAGTCAAACACTGATCGTGTGCTTGAGTTAAAGAAGTAACGGTAAGTTGCGTTTGTATGGGTAATCACGCGCGATTGCTGCGTTCTTTTTATACCCTGAACCCATTTTCAATGGGAAATCAGGGTATAATGGTTTTGTTGAAATGTATGTAACAGGCAGAAGGAGGCGTGGCAGACCCCACAAAGTATATATATTCTTGATCAGGGCGACGAGCTGAGTTGATTTGGCCCTGTCCGTCTGTCTATCCGTCTGTCCGTCCGTCCGTCTGTCCGTCTGTCCGTATGTATGAACGCGTCGATTTCAGAAGATATAAGAGCTAGAGACTTCAAATTTTTTTATAATGTCCGTAATTACAGCGCGCATATCAAGTTTATCATTAAAAACCGATAACTCATCCCGATCTTTTTTTATCGATAAAAACCCATATCGAAAACCAGTTATAAAATTATATCTCTACACCTTTATTGCTAGAGTCTTCAAATTTTTAATGTATGCTTATATGCAATTTATACAATTTCGGTTTTTGTTAAAATTTACCCCCTCACCCTTAAATTCACCCCCTCACCCTCACTTTTGTAAAAAGCGTATTTCAAATACTAGAGACTTGTGCTTTGGCAATTACATGCATATCCATGTTATAATCATAATCTGAAGATCGTACGTCCACAAAAAAAGTTATTAAGCAATTAAATTCTCATAGTAAGCGGTCACTGCCGCCCATGCGTGTTTTTGCTTGTGTGTGTATATGTATGTAATTGTTTGTGTATGTGTGTATGTGTGTGTGTGTGTGTGTATGTGTGTGTATGTGTGTGTACGTATGTGTGTTTATGTATGCCTGTGTGTGCGTGCGTGCGTGCGTGTGTGTGTGTGTGTGTGTGCGTGTTTCTTGTGTAAGCTGAAAGACGCGAAAAATTATTGAAATAGCTATTACTCCAAGGGTTCAGGGGATCTCGTAGTCGAGTAGTCTCGACTAGAGCTTTCTTACTTGTTGTATGTATGTATGCGTGTATTTACATGCACACGAAGGCAAAAACATTTTCTGCTGAGTTTGTTAGTCAAAGTGTTTTTTGCTGAGAGGCTTTGTGTGAGGGAAAATCGTGTTAGTTTTACGCGACACTCATGTGAGAGCGTCACACGAATGAGTGATCGCATTGCGTCTGAGCGAAACAGATGCTAAAGAAAACAGAGAGTGACGCTCAGAGAGAGACGTGTCTACACAATTTTTTTTTGGGTATGATGCGAGAAAGAGAATAAACGAAAAAACGCTCAACTCTCATTTGCAAGCTCTGGAAAGAATACATTTTCGCGACGAGCATGCACACATATTGTTTATATTGTTTATGCGTATCAACGCTTTCATACCCTTCCCACGAATAACCATCGAAACGCTTACATTTTGTTTGCATGAGCGTGACAAATGCTTTTATGATTTCGGTATACCCTTCACTCAAGAGGAAAGAGCTGGGATCGTCGCGAACAATATTCAATTTCTGTGCGCTGCTGCTATTTGAGAGACCATATAGAGAGCGAGTGAGAGAGCATAAAGAGAGGGAGAGAGTGAGTAAGGGAAAAAGAGCGCATAGCCATGCTTCATTTAGTAATGCGTGCAATTCGTGGCAGCAGTCGCAGCACACTGATTTTGTCTTGCCTTATTTTCACTGCTTGAGCCTCAGAAGACCGAGCCGACCAAATACGCAGTTGTCCGGTCCGCTCAGCGCATTTTTTCGGTGTTGAAAAAGTTTGTTCTACATGTCTAGTCTATGTGTTCTCTGGTCAGTGATATAAGTTAAGACTTTCGACAATCTAAGGAGGCTGGAGAGTCCAGTCAGACATTCAAGGGGAGAATACCAATATAATGGTATTTATCCAATATAAATTGCCCAATATAAATTTATTATCCATAGTCGATAGTTCCAGAGTCCATAAATTATCATAAAGAGGGAAATCGATATCCACCTTCAAGTTAATTCAATGCATTCATAGTTCCATACATTTAGTATTCATTTGTGGTTATGACAATACATCTAACATTGTAAGCGCATCTATTTCATTCCCTCTGGCATCTCGGAAACTAGGAAGGATATACCACGTGTAAAATGCTGTGGATGCTATGGGTGCTAAGGAAATTAAGGAAGTTAGAGGATTATTACAATTTAATTAATTAAAATGTGCATTTCCCTTTTTTTTTCCTATTTCTTATGTGTGATTTATGAAGATATTTTACAATTTTTGTTTTGAGTGTCACATTTCGGTTTTCCTTTACTTCGTCCTTTGCAAATCTTTTTTTGTCCTTAGTCTTAATTTGATTGTTTGTTTTATATTATTTCATTGAATTACTAATTGTATTGAATTACGTGTGTGTATTACCACGTGTGTTATTGCGTTGTCTGTTATAGAATTACTTGAATTACCAATTACTAGTTGTATTATCTTTTGTTACCGAACCGGCAAACAGTTTTTATTATTTTATATGGCTTCGGAAGCCCTCAGGA